CGAATGGCACAGATGGGGGGGCAGGGGTCGAGTGAAATACATGTACCAGGGAGATAGCAGACGGATTCGACGGGGCAAGAGAGAGACTTTGATAGGACCTAGGGAAAGACTACGTAACAATATGACAACATTGTTATGTCAACAACAATTGTTGTCAACAGTCCCAGCACAAGGGTGAAAGGGATGATAACGACAGTGTGGAGTGTGAAGGGTTTTCATGAATGCCGCTCGAAGGAGCACACCACACTACATTAAAAATACGCACGATAAAAAATTGTGACAGGGAAGGCATGATAGGAAGATATAGGAAATGTGAATATCCCAGGACAGTTTTGGTTAAAGGATGGGCTTCACTTGTCTCTTTGATGAGTTGTAATATGGTGTTACGAATGGCGAGACTCACTGACGATGCTGACTACGATGCCGGCGAAGCGTCTGGGAATGTACCACGTCCACGGTCCTACTCTGGAAATGATGATGCCTACAATGGACTCCGGAAAAGGTGCATTCCTCTAAGTCTTCCTACCAATATGACCGAGTTGCAAAAACAAGGTCAAACAACTTCTATATTTCATTTAGCCTGGTTCCCATAAGTTATTCTTATCGAGAGTGGGCCAAATTTTAGGCCTTTCATCGGCCTCCATTATTTTATGCCGTCTAAATCGACAATTCCCTAAAGATTTTACATAGATTAGGCACCGTTTTCCTTGAGTTGCGTATGGCCCATGCTTCATTGGCATTCGTAACTGTGACTTAGTGGCGACATTTCGAAATTGTATGCTGCATTAACAGGGTTCAATTTTTATCGGGAGTGGTAACGAAACCCAGGCGATGTCGAAATTGCAGTTCCTTCTGGGTCTTAATACCTTTTGGGTAGTAAGGCTGAGTGAAATCCAATGGCATCTTGAGGTCCATTTATATAATTAAGAAAAAATAATTTATTAGTTATTCATGGTCTACCAATGGTCTCGAAAACTACTAGCTATTAATATATGTTTAAAGTTTGGCTTTTTCTATAGACTCCTAAGTTTTCCGCTTTTTAAATCTCCACGTCCTTTTAATCTATTTCGTGTATTGTGTTCGGTTAGTTTTGATTTTTAGACCCTTTTTTCGATAGCACCTTATTTTGATAGGGCTGATCTAATAGCGATTGCTTTCTTAGAACTAATTATAATAATTTATTGATTACATCGATTATTTATTCTTTAGTATTTTATGGATTTTTGTTGCATATTAAACTTCACTTACTCCTCTCCATAAATCGTTCGAAACTTCATAACCGCAGCAAGAGTACGATCTTTGATAGGACAAATTTCATTTTAAATTAGAATTAACGACTATTATCAATCAACTAGGCATACCCATTTCCTGTCCTAATAGACACTACCTCTGGTGTGAGATTTGAGTTTTCTGTTTACCTTGCTGAATGACTACCAAGAAGACGACTGCACCGCTTTTGCCCTGTGTTCATCATAGTTCCTCCATCCCGAACGCCCTTTGTCTTTTTATAGCTAGAGTTTATGATATCTGTTGTATACTGCATAAGCTGCTTGGAGCTACGTGTTTGATAATTTATTTTCCCGACTGATAGTTAAAAAATGATCGGTAATATTTACTTCCGTTCATTTCTATCTTTCTCATTTAGTCTTGATTGATTGCCTATTCTTAGTTACCTTAATTAGGCGCTTTAAAGATTAATTAGAGAGCAGCTTTTATAGAATTTCGATTATCTCGCTGTTTCTCTTCGTTTCCTTCCCGTTCAATGCAGTGTCATTTATTCACAAATTGACTTAGTTGGTTGTACTTGGAACGGCTGAATGAAAATTCTTTCTCCATTCATCTCCACTCTACTCTAGACTTTTACCTTCTTTACACGTTTTTTTCTATTTATGAAGATGAATTTTACTTTTTGTTGCCATGTCATTTTCTTAACTTTTAGTGTGACATCTGTAAGTGTGTGGTTGTCTGGAGTTTATTCTTGCCTTTACTTTGATTTGTAATTAATTATTTACACACGTTTTCCTTTTAATTCCCAATATATCCTTACCTTTGTGATACTTGTTTGATGAACTTGCTTATTTAACTTGTGGTTCTATTTTATCTTGTATCGTTTTATTTTACTGAGAGATCCTTCATAATCTAGTTAAAATAGCGAAATCTCTGCTCCATAATTTATCAATTACTACCTAAAGAATTGGGCCATATAACGTTTACTTTCCTTTAATTAGCCTCTTTTAGTGTTGGGTTAAGGCTATTTTACGATGCGGAATAAGCCTATACAATTAATAAGTTTGTATTTATTTAAATATCACTTAAGCCATTGAGATTTTTGTGCTAGACCAGAACTAAGGCCATAATAAGGTATTTATTTTTGTGAATTAAAATTTACACTTGCCACATCTCAAATTGAGACAACTTTATTAGAGCATTCAAGTGTAGGTCTTTTAATGCATAAGCTTTAAGAAATCCTTCTAACAGGGTGATGTTGTCCTCCAGATCGCCCTAGCCTTTAATTTCTTTAACTTTTCATTAAAATGAACTTGTCAATTGCATAATAAGTGCATTTTTATGGATTGAATTCTTGTCATGCTATCATTGCAGAGTATTTTAATCCCCGATTTTTACATGTCTGCATATTCCTGCCTTGTTTTTAGTGCTTTTACCCTTTACTCATTTGTTTTATACAAGCTAAACCAAAATCACTTTTTAATCATGTCTTTATGCATTTGTCTTTCGTCATGACAGCTATTTTGATTATTTTTTTGGTCACAGCTTACAACTATTATTCATTTTTACAAAGTATTCTTGTAGTGGACTGGGATGTACATCACGGCCAAGGGACACAGTATGCATTCTATGAAGACGCAAGGTAAGAATACATTTGGGAATTAAATGAGCTTTTAATTTATTTTACATGCCTTGCACTTCAAATGTTTGTGTTTATTTGCCTACTTATTTTACATTTTGGCTAGGCAAGGCTTGAATGAGCCTTGCTATGATATCTTGCTCAAACCTCCACTGAAGATTAATAAGGATATTTTAGAGGTAAAACTCATTTAGGCAAACAAATTTTCTGCAAATGCGGTAAGATCTCAATTTGGCGAGATAGCAGAACCAATATTTTGGCCCCAGTTCAACCCCCCGAATTCATAGGCGATTACCTACTCAGAGACTTAATTTCTTATCTACTTCTAGTTTTGTCTATTCTTTGTAATGTATCTATTGAAGTCCTTTGCCTAATCTTTCATTAAATATCCTTACAATGAACATCAACCGGCAAAGTTGCATTTGGGACTTCCACGAACGATTGAGATGCATATTTTTATTTAAGCTCACTGGGATTTCCATTGATCATTGATGTAAAGACTTTCATTTCGTATGGAAGTACATGACGAAGAGATTCACATTTGTGTACATTGATATCACGTTAAAACATACTAATATATCTTTTGAAATATTCTGCCGTTCCACTAGTTTAACAAAGTCGTAAGAGTTTTTTCAACGAAAATAACCAAAATCCGGTCACTTGTCCTAGCTACCGAATGAATTAAATCATTATCCGGAAATACTGGTTAAGCTAATTAGCATATCAGATAGGGTACCTGATCAAGTCAAGAATAGTATAGAGTTAGAGATGATTCTAGGTAATTATGTCATAGAAGTCATTTGTTCCGAGCTGAGTATTTAGATATTTATTTTGTAATAATCTAATTGTTATGAAAGCCGACAAGGGAGGAGCAGTGGCAATCTTGGATAGGTCAAGCTATCTAGAGAAAATGCTTGCGTATTTAAATTAAATCTTGTGAACTGCATCAACCTGAGCGTTGTATTAATGGCAAACAGTTCCAGCACAACGCGAATCAGCCGACCTTTTCTGGTGAGATTGACCTACGAAATTAAGGTCTTCACATCAATTTTATCCCAGGAGATTCTTCGAAACCCACATTTTCTTCGTATGTTTTTATCATTGCCTGTCTGCATTAAACAGATAAGACAAATACTTTCCAGATTTCCTTTTTAGACCCAGTTTTATCATAGCTGTGTTTTTTTAGTAGCCATGACAGTTCTTCATCTTGTTGACCCTTGCCTATAGCAGGTTGGGCTGCAAAAATATGTCCCTCGGATCCTTTAGTCTGATTCTATTCGCGGACACCGCGTTCACACCTGAATAGTGAAGCCATGCAATCTTGTTCTTAGGCCACATGATAAAGCAGATACTATTCGCATAAATCAATCAGGGGCTTTGCCAGAATTGGTCTTGAGTACATCAGCAACGGCCATGAACCCATGAATTTTTCTTCTATCCCTTTATTTTTCTAAGGCACTGTCCGATCTTTCGATCTACTCATATGAGTATGCGCATGCTTGCTCTTTGGAGCTGCGTATTTGTTCTACGGTCTATCAAATTATTGCCATATCAATATTAGGTCTCTTAAACATAATTCATGTTTTTGTGCGTCTGATTATGCATAAAATGGAGTGCTATGTTTGGAGAAAATCGATCAAATTTTTGTTTAAATATGGCCTGTCCCTTTGTTGATGTATCAAAGGTTTCAACGCAGATTAACACGGATACCTACATCTGATTCCCAAAATTATTGATATTTCTCTTTTAGCGTACTATATTTCTCCATTCACCGCTACGACGAATGTGAATTTTGGCCTAATCTACGCGAAGCGAATTACGATTTCATTGGCGCAGGCTCTGGGAGAGGCTACAATATCAATGTTCCTCTCAATGAGGTACGTTTTTCAACTATATTGAGCATATACTATAAACTAGATCACCCTTATATTCGTGTCCTTGTAACTATAATTAAAAGGTAAGTTTCGGGATGACTTGAAACGCTTATTGTGATCCATTAACATGCATGTTTGATTGTCAACATAACGTTGGTATATTTGCCTTAAATTGATTTCATGTTTTTATTGATACTTTAGCTTCTTTATTTGTATCAGGCTATTTAAAAAAGTTTTTCGGCATCTATCAGAATCCAGTGGTTTTTATGGAAACAAATAGGTTTCGAAGAATTCCTTAATAAGATATTATGGCATTAGTCTCCATTTCGAAGGGAAAGTTGGCTAAAAGGAATTCGTGATTGGTCTCACCGGAAACCTAAAAAGGATTGCTGCGTAGGGAAGACTGTTTAATTGTGCGAAAAAGTCTTCGGCTCACCGTCCTGCGACCCCGATGAAACTGTTATAAGCTTTGGTCTGTACTGTAACAGACATCATCAGAGCAAGCTTTAAAACTTTATGAGCTTTTTGATACACCTAACATTGCGATCTTAATGAGGCATCTAATGATTTGGTTGGCAACTTCAACCTTACTCTACATGGTATGAAGACCAAGATGGTGTGGCCTTTTGTGTGGTCGCAGTCTCCTTT